TGGGCACTGTCAGTAGCCAGGAAACACCACATCGCCTCACCACCAAAGCTTCAGAACATCAGCATGGTATGGCTGCCCGCCTGCTCACCAGCCAGCCGAGGCACCCTTGAGCCTGCCACTGCTGGGATCCTTGACACCACCCCCCTTCACCACCCTCTTCACTGTGCCTGACCAGGCTCCTGGTTTCTTTTCTGAATACAAGATTATGACATTGAAGATGCTTTTTAAGAAGACGTGCTCCCAATGTTCAAAAACAGCCAAAACCTTGGCAACAGAGATCAGAAGAGCGGCCACCATTGGAGGGAGGACCAGGAGAAGCCCGGGGTGGCACATTTCCTATGGTCTTCCCGAGTTGTAGTTATCTGGGGAGTCGCATTTGTAAAAACTCTTCCAGCTGCATAATAAAGATGTGTGCATCTCCCTGTACATAAGTTATACCTCCACTTTTTTAAAAGATGGATGCCCCGCCTTGTCCCCCACAACCTTTGGTGCCTGCCCCAATTTGTTTTTTAAAGATAGTGTCAACACCTTATCTTTGGTCCCTGAACCCAACCCAGGGGCTGGCCCCAGTGAGGGGCCCAAGGAGCGTCACTGAGTTCATTTGAAAGACGAACAGGCCTGTGACTAAAATAGCACACAGAACAGTGAAAGCAAAGACGCCAAACAGCACAAGGTTATCATCCCCTCAGATTCCCTCCGTCACTCTTCCTCCTCCTCCACCACAGCCATCAGATACAACTTCACCCCGGCGTCCTTGCCCTCTGACCTTGGGCAAACAGTTTCACTGCTGAACCTCTGCTTTGTCACCTGTGAAACAGGGATATTGGCAGGGGTTCTGGTGAGGGTTCGATGAGAAAGTAGATTTAAGACTCTTTGCAGCAGTGTGGTGCAGACAACAGACGACATATGCACAAAAACACACACACATTCACACTCACACACGTTGATACCCACACACTCACACGTCAGGCCAGGTCAGCAGAGCAGCTCTGCAATGGTAGGTCTTCTCTTCTGACAAATAACTATCAAGTCCCTCTCTTCCTCATTAGCCTGAGACAGGTCCCTCTTACCAATCTTTGGGGGACAGTGTCCAACCCCCCAGCTTGGTTTTCAGAGTCCTCTGCCTTAAGCCACTACCTGACCTGTTTAAGAACATTTCCTGCTCCTCCCCAGCCCCTACGGGACTCTCTGGCCAGGCTGATCTTCCCCTCCCATGAAATACTAGAGAGCACCTCCTCTGACTTCCTTTACCCCACAGTGAGTCATTCCCTGGCCCCACTCCCCCCCCACCCCACCCCCATGACTTGGTGTCCTCCCGACCAGACATGAGCTCCCAAACGAGAACTTCACGTTCTACCTTTGGGATCCAACCCATAGGATAATGGAGACTAAAGCCCACCATGTACCAGACTGGACCCTGGACACCTGAATTCTTTATTTCATGGAACCTTCACATTCTTTACAGATGGGTGTCATAATGTCAATTTCACAGAGAAGAAAATTGAAGCTCAGAGGGGTGAAGAATTAAGTTCAAGATCATTCAACCAGTAATTATTTCTCAATCTCCTACCAGAACATGGCCCTGTGCAAAATTCTGAGGACACAATGTTGACAAAAAATGGACCACACTCAGATGAGCTCATATACGAGGGAGCCAGAGCCACTGGCAATCCCAGTGCCGGGATGAGTGCTGCTGAGAAGGGCGTGGCAAACATGACAGGCATGTGCAGAATTAACGCGCTAATGAGTGAGCCAGCGGGGGTGGGAAGGGGGGAAGCTGGCTCCAAGAGTAAATGGGCATTTCAAGGCTTTGAAAAAGGAGGGTGAGAATAATATCTTCAGGTTGGAGATCAATCTGGTTAACATTCTACAAGGCAATAAAGCCACATATTTGGAGTTATTTTTTCTGCCATACAGAAGCCATTTGTACCTCTACCAGACAAAAATCTACAAATTAGCCCTCATCTGGGCCTTAATCAAATACGAAAAACTCAGGCATAGTCTTCTACAGAACTAACTAATCCTTCAGCAGGGCTTTTAAACCATGCCCCAGTATGGCAACGAAATAAAGCATCACCTTCTTTTGCCTTATTTCCAAATTTTGGATACTTTGTCTCATTAAAGGAAAGTATGCTGGCTTCATTCAGCCTGCACAGGGCAGAAAATGCTTCTTGAAGAGGAAATCCCTGAACTGAGATCTAAAAAATAAGAAGAAGCCAGATAAGTCCAAAGGAGCCAGTGCAAAGGAGTTCAAAGGAGCCAGCGCCTGGCAGAGGCCAGCCTTCCCTGTGTGCGCTGGCCCCTGCTGAGCTCTGCAGCCAGACTCACACAGCTCTCTCCATCACTCCCTGCAGGGGCAACACCGGCCTCCTGACAGCTTCTAAACTGAACCACAGGACCCTTGCCTGGGCTACTCCTTCTGCCTGGAACACTCCCTGGATCTTTCCTGCTTATTCTCTAATCCAGAGACTGGGCTAAGCTCCCTTGTCAACACTTCCAGAGTAACCGTGTCCAGCACTTCTTTGGAGCCCTCCTCACAATTTGTCATTATACATTGGCCTTGTGATTACTTGGCTAACATCCCTCTCCTCTACTGCCCTAGGTGCCGCCTCAGGGCAAGTAGGGTGTTGATTCACTCATCAGTGGAACACCTATGCTAAGCCCATAGGAGGCACCCCAGAAACATTAGAAGGATGGGAGGATAGACGGAGTGATGAGAAGGAGGATGAGAGGATGGATGGATGGGAAGGAGGGAGGACGAATGGATGGCGGATTGATGCAGGGGAGCATGGATGGGTGGATGGGTGGGAAAGAAGAAAGGGGGAGAGGGACTGGGGGAGGGCAGAGAGCAGAGGGGAAGGAAAAGAGCTGAAAAGTCGGAGTCTGGTCGACACTTCAGGAGAACCGAGAGTCTCCAGCTGGCAGGTTTGGAGCTAGATGCAAACCTCTGTACATCTGACTTTTCCCACTGAAGTTTCTCTGTCTTTCATCATGATCCTGGGTTCAGGGCAATCACCTTTTTAAAAAAATGACGCATGATCCCCAACAGGAAAGGAGCCAATGACCCTTGTCTAAGCCTTTGGTTCCTCTTCTGGAGAAACTGGGGCTATACTTAGAAAACAGGATAAAAGATTGCAAAAATCTGTCTCTACCCTGAAATTGCACAACCGTAGCGCGGCTGGTCAATGGCTCAACTTTGGGAGCTGGCGGGACTCAGCCTCTCAACAGACATGTCCTCCTGGCTCTGCTTCAAGGACAACAGGCCACGCCCTCGTGGTAAAAGGTGCCGTTCCCAGCAACACGGGCCTTCTGCCCGCGCGGGCCCTCTCTGGGCAAGATCAGCTGGTGCGGCAGCCGGTCGCATGGATCTGGGCCACAGACCTGTCTCCAGAACGAGGCCGGGTGAGAGTTTAATGATGAGAAGGCTGCAGCCTGACGAAGGCTGTCGGCTGGATTCTGCCATGGCTCCCCCTATGCCAGTAAATGGACCCTGTGCACATGCATATTAACGCATTATCGCTAATGTTTTGTGCCAGATGCAAAGGCACTTGGGTAGCCAGGCTGAGAGTTGCCATTACTACAGGACCTTTTGCTGGAATATTTTTCTTGGGGCAGTTAAATCTTCAGCTGTCTCCTCCAAGGGAGTGCCAGTTTGCATTTTAATTACCCTCGAAAGAGGGAAGTAGGGGAAAGGACACAAGGCAAAGAATGAAAAAATAACAACCTGCTTTATAAACACAGTGGTTTCTCCCCCATCGACTCCACCATGCCCTTGACCTTTAGACTACTGCCTCCCAATACCTGTGGAAGGGCCTCTTTAAGGGGAAGAAGGAGAGGAGGTAGGAGAGAGCATTTCTTGAGTGTGATTTGTTAGTGCAGTGCATTACGCCTGGCTAATTTAAAAAAAAATTTTTTTTTTGAAGAGACAGGGTCTCCCTATGTTGCCTAGGCTGGTCTCAAACTGAGCTCAAGTGATCTTCCTGCATCAGCCTCCAAGTAGCTGGGACAACAGGTGCATGCCAACAAGCCAGCTAATTTTTTTAAAAAGTTGTGTAGAGACTGGGTCTCCCTATGTTGTCCAGGCTGGTCTTGAATTCCTGGGCGCAAATGATCCTCCTGCCTCAGTTTCCCAAGGTGCTGGGATTACAGGCATGAACCAATACTCCCAGCCTCATGGAAAGCTCGAGAACCAGCAAAACTCATCTCTCAGGTGCTGGGGGAAAGAGAAGGAATTGACTAAAAGGGACAAAGGGAACTTCCGGGGGCCTGGAAATGCTTATCTTGATTGAGGTGGTGCTTACGTGGGTGTATATATTGGTCAAAACTCATCAAACTCTGTACTTAAAATGAGTGCGTTTTGTTGTTTGGAAGTTAATACTTTAATAAAGTTGATTTTAAAATAAATAATAAATACGAGTTAATATTTATCTAGACTTTACTATGTGCCATCCTAATTGTGCTTCCTACGTGTTAAGCCCTTTACCCCTCACAATCAGTCTGTGACATTGGCACCGAGTGCCCCATTTCCCAGATGAGGAAATTGAGGCACAGAGAAGTGAAACAACTTTCCAAAGTGACGCAACTAGTAAGAGGCAGAGCCTGTGTTCCAATCCAGACAGGATCTGAGCCTATAGCCTGAACAGCGAAGTCCAAGATGACTCAACTGGCTAGTGCTAGAGGCAGGATTAAATAAATCCCGGGGCCTTTCCGATGTGGTGAAACTGGTGGAAGAGGAAAACGCATTCATTAGGGAAATATTCACGCCTCTACTGCAGGCCGAACTGTAGACACCAAGAGCAACAGACAAATCCCAGGCCCTTGTCGGGAAGGAAAGGGATCATGAAATAATCAGAAAAATAAATGCGAAATGTGGTCAGAGATGAATGCTCAGAAGGAGAGCTTGCCCCGGACCGAAACGCGCAATACTAACCTAGAGTGTGCGGAGGCCACGCCCTCCTCGCGTATTTGTGCCCAAATGAGCCGCCTCCCCAGCGTGCACCAAATTCCTGAGCCACCTGCTCCCAGCTCCATTTCCCTTTCAAGCTGTGTGTTCTGCGGGGGCAGAGCGAGCTGCAAGGGCTCATCTTTCAGGACATGCCGCAAAGGACCTTTGAAGTCATCCGCCCTGCTCTTGGCACCTGGCGCCTGGAGCTGAGCTCTTCCAAAAATGACCCCTGCGCATTCCCCTGGCCCTGACGCCCATCCCAGGCAGTCGCGGTCCAGAGCAGGGCGGAGCAGCAGCGTGGGCGACAGCTGGGAGCACCGGGGTCTTGAGGGAGGACACTGCGTCAAACCAAGCCACCAGACCCTGTTCCCCCACCACACCGCCGCGTGACCCTGGCGCGAGGAACCGGGACCGGGCTTTTAGGCCTTGAAGGGCAGACCTGCTCCACCAAACATTCCCATCGTTGATGGGGGGCCTCCCAAGCTGGGCTCCGGGGGTACATTATCCAATTTATGTCTCTCGGTAGCCCTGCATCATCGCCTCTGGTTCCCAGGTGAGCACAGAGAGGCAGATGACTTACCCAAGATCACACAGTACTGAAGAAATAGAATTGACGTCCGGACATCTCCCCTAATATCCCACGGCCTCCAGAATCTTACCTCAGGCCCTCTGCACCCCTGAAATAAATACTCTACACCATTTAGTGAATATTCTTTCAGAAGTCAGACCCTATAAATTTATTTCCTGGCTCCTCCATTTCCTGGCTGTGTGACCTTAAGCAAGTTTCTTAACCTCTCTGTGTCAGCACCTTCCTCTGTAGATGGTGCCAAAAACTGTACCTATCCAGAAAGTTGCTGTGAAGATTAAATGAGCCAAGACAATAAATGTAAAAGTGGTTAAAACTGTGCCCAGATGATAGTGAGCCCTCAAAAACTAGTCACTACTCTAATTCCATAGACTTGATTAATTTCTGGGTTTTCATAAGTGGATTTATATCTACTTTATACATTTAAGACACCTTTCCAAGTGAGACATACAGGTCTACCTCATTGTTACAAGCAGCTCCATAATGTTCTTATATTCATTCATTCATTCACCAAATGTGTACAGCAAGCAGCTCCCATACACCAGGCAAGGGCTCACAACACACTCAGTCCTGGCTCTGAGTTCTGGTGGGAGGGATAATTGACAAATTCGTGAATAAATAGCCGAGAGCATTTCACCTTATGCTGAGTCCTACGAAGAAAATAAGATGGGGCCAGGCACCGTGGCTCATGCCTGCAATCCTCGAAATTTGGGAGGCTGAGGTGGGCAGATCATTTGAGGCCAGGCGTTCAAGACCAGCATGAGTTTTCAGTAGAGAAACTACATCTCTACCAAAAATACAAAAAAAAAAAAAAAAAGCTAGCCAGGTGTGATGACGCACACCTGTGATACCAGCTACTTGGGAGGCCGAGGCACGAGGATTGTTTAAACCTGGGAGGCAGAGGTTACAGTGAGCCGAGATCTCACCACAGCTCTCCAGCCTGGGTGACAGAGTAAGGCTCTGTCTCAAAAAAATAAAAAAGGAAAAAGAAAAGATGGACAAAGTGATGAAGAGACATGGGCTGGGAGAGGGAAGACAATTTACAGACAGTGTGTGAAGCCCCTGGGGATATGGCATTTATACCGACACCGGCAGGAAGAGGAGGGAGGAGCATGGAGCAGTCCAGGCAGAGGGAGCAACCAGGGCAAAGGCTGAGAGGCTGACTAAGCTCAAGCGTGGAGATTCAACTGGAAGTCGAGAATGAGCATCTTTGAAATCAGGTAGGAGAGTCAGGCCAGGGCCCGATGAGGCAGCACGTGTGGATTTTATCCTGAGAGACATGTGAAGTCCCTGAACCCGGGGTTCTGCAGCTCTGTAGGAATGGATCGGAGAGGCATGAGTGGAGGAATAAGGAAGTTTGTCAAGCTACAGAATCCAGAGGCACAGGCAAGAGGCAGTGGTGGCAGGGACCAGGGATGCAGCCTCCAGCCTGGAACATTCCTCGCTGGCAGAGCCCACAGGACCAGCTGACGGGGAAGACGGAGTTGAAGGAAAAGAAGAAACAAGTTGCCAGGGACAGATGTCACCATAATAATTTAATTAACGAATTCCCAATTGATGGAGAGCTGGACCATTTCTATTTTTTCCCAACTTGCAAACAGTTTTGTCTTAAACATTATTGCATAGATATCCCCAGATGTGAGATGCTTGGACCAAAGGGGTCAACGTTTTTTTATCATATCCAGATGGCCACATTGCCTCCATTCCACTCGTGTCCAACATGAGGAGTTCCAGTTTCTACCCTGGAACTTTCTCCTCCTGCTGTGCTCCTGGGAACACTCTGCCCAACCCCTCCGCCTCTGGCATGGGCCTGGTCTCCAGTGCACTTGTGTTTCTTGCTGCTATCTGGAATTACAAGTTGTTAAGAAGAAAACCTCAGAACCAGGCTAAGTGGCTAAAAAGACTGCCCGGGGGCCTCTTTTTCCAGCAGGAGGCAGAGAGAGGCTTCCAGCACCCTGAAGAGGGCCAATTTACCCCTATTCTTCCAAATACAAGGAATTGGGCTCTTTTTTTTCTTTTTTTTTTTTTTTCCTGTTCAGCCTGAAAACAAGCCAGGGCATTGAGATGGCCATGAAAACAAGCGGTGAAAACAGGCCATGACGTTACAGGAAACCCTTCTCCCCACCACTCTGAGCAGCGGGAAGGATGGGAGCCGCTGTCCTCTGGGACCTCTGCCCTTCAGCCCCTCTGGAGCCCACTGGCCCTCCCCATCTCACATCTGATCAATGCCCCCTGGTTGTGGCCACCACCTGCTGCCTGACCCCTATTCATGCCAGCTTTTGCTATGGGGGTTTCCTTTTCATAAGTGGCCTTTTTAAAGGAAGTGTTTTCTTTTAATCAGCAGTCACTGTGTCTGCAACAGTGCTAAAGCAGAATTTTGTTATTTCCCATCACTTAGAGCTTATTTATTCCATTTATTTGGGGGAAGGGTGGCTAAGATTTCAGAGATTCATAACCGGCTTGTGCACGGTATCTGATTTTCACTTTGGCATTTGGAGATGCTTTTGAAGAAGGTTTATGTTATCTTTCTAAGACTTACCTGGTGAGTTACTTAATCACCAGAGGATTTGGAAACATACTGCTTCTTAATATCTTATCTTTTGTTTTTGTTTTGTTTTGTTTTGTTTTCTTTGAGACAGAGTTTTGCTCCTGTGGACAAACTTTTTGAAACAAGGGAAACTATGTTATAGTTAAAGTCCAAGTCAATTTCCAATCAGTGCTCTTTGCCAAATTTCTTATAAGATGAAAAGAATAATAAGAATTTTTTTAAAAAACAGAGTTTCACTCTTGTTGCCCAGGCTGGAATGCAGTGGTGCAATCTTGGCTCACCGCAACCTCTGCCTCCCAGGTTCAAGTGAGTCTCCTGCCTCAGGCTCCCGAGTAGCTGGGATTACAGGCATGTGACTCCTGGCTAATTTTGTATTTTTAGCAGAGATGTGTTTTCTCCATGTTGGTCAGGCTGGTCTTGAACTCCCAACCTCAGGTGATCCACCCGCCTCAGCCTCCCAAAGTGCTAGGATTACAGGCATGAGCCACCGAGCCTGGCCTGTTTTGTTTTGTTTAGACAGAGTCTCGCTCTGTCACCCAGGCTAGAGTGCAGCGGCATGATCTTGACTCACAGCAACCTCTGCCTCCCCGATTCAAGCAATTCTCCCACCTCAGCCTCCCAAGTTGCTGGGATTATAGGCGCACACCAGCACATATGGCCAATTTTTGTTTTTTTAGTAGAGATGGGGTTTCACCATGTTGGCCAGGCTGGTCTTGAACTCCTGACCTCAGGTGATCCACCCAACCCCCTTGGTCTCCCAAAGTGCTGGGATTCTAAAACAAGTGACCTTTTTTTTTTTTTTTTTTAATAGAAAATGAATGGATAGCAACTCTTTGACGTCGCTAGTAACTATCATTAATCGGCTGCTTGGAAAGTGTCAGCTGGGCTCATTCCCACTGGATCTTCTCCGCACCTCTCTCAGGGAGGTAGGAGTTTTTGTATACATTTTATGTGAGAGGAAATCAAGGCATGGAGAAGTTGGCTATTACTAGTAACTTACCCAAAGTTCCAGACCAGGGCAGAACTGGGGTGCAGGTTCCATACCCCCCAGGGCCCTTCCTTTGTAACCATGGTTATGAAGCCTCTCTGAGGGAAGGCTGCAGGTTCTCCTGCAGGTCCCTGTGGCAGTGACATGGGTGGGGGTGGCAGACAGACACACGTTTCCGTTTGTCCTTACTCTTGTCCGTGGCAGCTCTTCCTTCCTCCTGCTGGTCCAGCCGACCCATGGGCCTTCCAGATCCACACTAGAAGCAGAATCCCTTGTTCTAGATGACTCATAAAGGCTCTGTATCTCTGATTCCCTAATGGGGCGTTGACTAATACTCAGGCGTTTCAATTGTATTTGGGAAGTGACCTGTTCCCCTCCACCTAGATGGGACAGATTTCACAAATAAAAATACAGGACCCCCAATTACATTTCAATTTCATAAAAATAATCACTACGTTTAGTATACATCGTGCAATATTTGGGATATAAATATTACTTGCTGTTTGTCTGAAGTGCAAATGTAACTGGGCATAGGTATCCCGTATTTTCTGTCAACCCTGTCTCCGTCCCCCAGTAGATGCCCTTCCAGAGGGACCTGCCAGACTGAGCCCTTCCATCAGCCAGACCTGAGAATAAGAGCATTTAGGTAAGTGCTCGGTCAGCATGGAAGAGCCTTGGGGCATTGAGTGGGACAGGCTGACATTGAGCCTTGCAAGGCCTCAGTTTCCCTGTCTTGGGCTACAATGTGGCGCTCAGAAATCCCCAAGGAGCCCACTGTCCACACATTGATGGCACTGCTTTTAATATGAAGTCCGGCTTCCTTAGTGAGGTATTCAAAGGCCCTGTCTGCCACCCCACCTCACCTCCTGCCCAGCTCACACAGCCACCTGGAAGGACTTAGAGTCCCCCCAAAACAATCTCTTCTCACCTATACCTTCACTCTTCTCCTTGCCTGGAGAACCTCTCCCTCCCTTGCATGCTGTTTAAACTCTTATTCACCCTTCATGCCTTTTTTTTTGAAATGGAGCCTTGCTCTGTCGCCCAGGCTGGAGTGCAGTGGTGTGATCTCAGCTTACTGCAGCCTCCGCCTCCTAGGTTTAAGCGATTCTCCTGCCTCAGCCTCCCAAGCAGCTGGGACTACAGGCACCCGCCACCATGCCCAGCGAATTTTTGTATTTTTAGCAGAGATGGGGTTTCACCATATTGGCCAGGCTGGTCTCGAACTCCTGGCCTTGTGATCCTCCTGCCTCGGCCTCCCAAAGTGGTGGGATTACAGGTGTGCACCACCTTGCCTGGCCCTTTATGCCTTTAATGCCACCTCCTCCCAGAAGCCTTCCCTGACCACTGCAGGAAGAGAGGTACTTGCTTTCACTTCCCTGTCTCTTTGGGCCTCTTTGACAGTTTGATCACACTAAAGTTACAGCTTATGCAAGTTTAACATGCTCTTCAGACAAAAGAAAAAAATACAGAAAGAAAGACAAAAAGAGAGAAAGAAAATAAATAAGGGCCACGTGGCCCAATTGGCACACACGCTGTGTTATGAGATGGAGGCAGAATCTGCTCTCTGAGGCTCAGTCCCCGTAGGCCCCTCATCTCACAGCTACCTAAGGACACATCTTTAAAGAGAAGCTGGAAAAAAAACTTGCAGTATAGTGGGAAAGGATGAGGGATTTGGCAGACCGGACCAGCCTAAATTCAGACTCCGCTGCACGCTTCCTAGCTGTGTAACCCTGGACCAGTTGCGGACTCCTCTGTGCCTGGCTCTTTACCTCCAAAGTGGGCGTAAGATCCTCATACATTTGTTGAGAGATAAAATGAGCTTAACACCTGTGAAGGGCTCGCAGCAACTCCTGATACACACTGGCATTAGGTGATATTATGATCAAATGCTGCCCCAGCCAGTGTCCTCTGTGGAAGGAAGAGGAACCTGCTCTGGGCCACAGGGAAGCCAAGCTGTGCTGGACTCGCTAGAAGACTGAGTATCAGTCCCCAGCCTCGTGTCTCTGAGGGTTTGCCAGGGGTACTTTCTATTACACTTGATTTTTGCTTTCCAAGCTAACTTGACTGAGTAGCACCCTCAGAGAAATCTAACCATCAGATAGATAGTCTGAGGTGAAAATTCCCGTCCACCATTTCTATAATAGCTGTGTGACCTCGAGTCAGCCGCACTTTGCATGAGCTGTGCTCACTTCACCTGTCAGTGGAGACATGATACCCACCCCCAGGGCATGAGGAGTTAACACCTTTGCTGATGCCTGCTACCTGGTAGGCACCCGATACCAAGACTTCTGTGATTAATTTACTCTTTCCACAGCTGCTGTTACACTGTGTTTCATTTTCAGTTCACATGCTCTTCACCCCACAGCCTGGGAACCCTCAAGGACGAGGATTAGTTCCAAGTCAGCTCAGGCTTCCATGGTCAAGTCTACACGGAAAACCAGGAGGTACTCAGACATGGGGGGGG